TGAAACATGAGATCAATCCTGAGTTGATTTTCAGAGCTCTGCTTGGAGATTACGTTAGTTTCCTCTCTCAGTTTGGCAGCCTCTTCGCTTATTTCTTGAAATCTTTTCCTGATTTCCTTCTGTCCCTCTCTTATGCGTTTTTGTCCCTCGCTGATCTCAACCATGTCAGCTCTTATCCTATTGACGCTCCTGCTTAATTTCCTGTCATTATTTTCTCGTTTCTGTTTCAAGTGATCTTTAGATTGTTAGAAATTAAAACAAAAAAGAAAAAGAAAATGACAGTCACAATTTGATACAATCTAATTCTAACACGCACAAGTCCAAAAACAATAAAATGATGAAGAAGGGCATGCACTTCTAAATTATACCTGCCGAAGTTTTCTTCGAGTTGCTCCGAGAGAAGTCCTCTCGCCAACTAATTTTGTATAAATACAACTCTTCATGATCAACCTGCATATGCATGAGAGTTTTGCTACTGTGATGATGATAACTTCGCGAGCCAAGTACTTATCGAGAGCACAAAATAAATAAATCGGTGAAGGAAACGAAGGGCGGTCAGTGGAAATCGAAAGCAAGTTGCCCACTCTTTTCCTCTGGGCCCCTCGCTATAAATTGGCATTAAAAAACAGAAGACAATAGTATAGTGTCTTATCTTTGATCGTGCGATCCCACGCGAAGGATGCTGCTCAATGTCAAGCTTTCGCACGATGATGCCTTGTGAAGAGCGAAACCCAACTTTGTTTTGACATCTGTACTTGTGATGCAGTTAAGTCTAAATTAGTTGGGAATCCATTTAATTTAAGGATTTGGAAAATGCAAGTCATCTGTGTTCGTTCTTCCCGGAAGCATTGTGATCCCTCCGCCAGTTAGATTTGCAAATATTAGGAGGTAACCCATGCATCCTCTTAACCATCGAACACACCTGAGACAGACGAGAGAGAGAAGTTGATATTCAAAAGGACAAGTTTTTTTTTTAAAAAAAAAAACTGAGAGGGAGAGGCGGCAGCCATTCGCAGAAATTAGACTTTTTTTGACCTGCAACTTCCCTCGGTACTGCCGCCCCCCCACCTCCTCTCATTATATACTATTAATAATAATAATAATAATAAAAGACACATCGATGCCAATTTTTTTACAATCGGATTTTGAGCGGTTCCTGGAACTTCATTCTTTTAACGGGAACATGATGCTTTCCAAACTACCTGACATCGCACGATGTCGCTCTATGGCAGCAAGTCAAATAAATAAATCGTGAGATCACTTAAAGAAAAAAAACAAAAAAAAAACACGGCGCCCACGCACAATAGCATACGGCCAGAAATCGTTCGACGAGGTCTGATTCCTCGCACGACTCAAAATTATGTCGCGTGATTTTTCACGTTCTCGCTCGACTCAGACAATTCGATAATTATAACTTAATTCCTCCTGTGATTTATTAAAACTAATTAATTAGTTGATCGTCTTATCATCAAAATCTTTAAATACTCCACCTAATTAAAATGTTGACCATCTTCAATTTCTTAAATTTTCATTTAAAATATATAGTTATTTTCTCATGCCATCCAAAAAATAAAATAAATCGAGAAAGATTGAAGGATTGTCGTAAAAACATATTTAAAAATATATAAAAATTACCAGATATAGTTTATGAAATTACTAGAACTAATTAATAATTTTGTTTAAAGATTGCCGGCAAGTCATGACTGATTCCTAATTCCGTGCACGACAAACAATTAAGGACCCACGTCTTCAATTTCTTCTACGCATTTCTTGAGGTTTACCACCGTTATCTACTACTTCTATGTTTATTATTATAATAGTTTTTAAAGTTATAATTTTAAAAAAATTATTTTATAAAAGATAATTTAAGTTGTGGTTGATTTAATATTTATATATTTAGTTAAAATTGTGAGTAAAATTAAAATTAAATAAAAAATATTTTAAAATATTTGATGAAAAAAATATTTTTGAAATTAAGATTATAAAATGATTAACACACATATATATATATATTAATAATTTTTAATTTAAATATTAGAAATTTAATTATTGCTATAATACTTACATTAAATATTTTTTATTGTTTCATTAAGCGTTCAACAACATCAGATAAAATATCATCGAGAATAAATTTGAGATTGTGATCAAATTCTGTAAATGCTATGTCATCAAGCGATCTCCTTCTAATTTTTTGAATAAAATAAAATAAAAAATAAAAATTGAATTTTTTTAACCAGGTTGGACTCGGTTTAATGCATTTAGATTTGAACTTGATCCAGTCCGATCGAAACAGTGAAGAATGACTTCACTGTTAATGTGAACAGTGGAGAGTGAATTATAATTCACTCTCCACTATGTTAGTGGAAAATAGCTAAGAGCTACTTTCCGCAAACTTGCGGTTTAAAAACAATTTATCCACTATGAACAGTGAAATGCTTTTTACCATTACCAAACATATTACTTCTGCATTTTGCTTCAAATGCAGACAAAACCTCCTAAACAAACAGTCTCGATGTTACAAGAAGATGAGAAAATGTTTAGTATTGTGGTAATTTTAAGGTTGATTTAATATATATATATATATATATATATATTTGGTTAAAATTGTGGTTAAAATTAAGATTATATAAAAAATAATTTAATGTGTTTGATTAAGAATGCTATTTAAATTAAGGTTATAAAATAACTAAAAATATATGTATTAATATTAATGGTTTTTAATTTAAATATTATAAATTTAACTACTGTTATTAAATCATGAAATAAAAAATATTTTATAAAAAATATTTTTTATTGTTCCATTAAACTATTTACAATTCCATCACGTATGAAATCCTTCTGATAAGTACTATAGTTCCCATGATTTTCTAAGCGTGCAATAACATTAAGTAAAATATCATTAGAAATAAAATTGGAATTGTAATCAAATTTTACAAATGCTATATCATCATACGATTTCCTTCTAATTTATGTAGTGTCATTGAATAATGTTAAATACTAGTTTTTTGAATAAAACACAATTAAAAATAAAAAATAATTGAATTTTTTTATTGCAGTAATGTTTTTTACAAAAATGAATAATGGAGAGTGAATTAATTCTCTCTACTGTTCACTTTGCAAGAGTATACAATGGAGAGAGAAGGAAAAGCAGCTTGAAGTTGCTTTCAATAAACATGTGTTTTGAACCTAAGTTATACTAGGTTTTACAAATAGTAAATTATGTTTAGTAATTAAGCAAATAATTTTTTTCTTTGGTTTGCTTCAAACATAAAAGCAATCACAGAAATAAACACAAAAATCAAACACAACACAAATGTATATCAAAACTAGTCAGGTGTTGGATTTGTTCTATGAAGATCACTAATTTGAGTTTCATAAATTTTAGGATCGTTAGTAGTTTATATAATCGTTAATTTCAGAACTTATGAGATTAGTCGAGATGCATACTAACTAATCCAGATACCCATGTTAATAAAAAAAAATCACTAAACATGAACTTAGTTATTTATTAAGTGTTTGAGAGTATAGTTGTGGTTGTTTTGAAAAGTATTTTTTATTTAAAAATACATCAAAATAATATTTTTTATTTTTAAAAAATTATTTTTAATATCAACGTATCAAAATAATTTAAAAATATAAATATATTAATTCCAAATAAAAAATTTTAAATTTTTTAAAAACACGTGTAAACCACGTCCCAAGTATTCTATCCCGTTATCGTACATTATCTTCGACAACATTAGCTTTAATATTTTTCTCATCGTTATCCCTGCCATTTTCCATGACGACCACTGATATTTTAACCGAACATTGCTCTCTGTGTATCACTTTATACAAGCGTGTCTTCTTAATCCCCATCAGATTGCCTCTCAAGCGTTTTTTCTTAATATCTATGAAAAACAAGAAAATCTTAACTTTTCTAAAACGAGAATTTCTACTAAATATAAAAGTTTTTTCTAAGGTTATAAAATACGAGAGACAATAGAAGACCTAATCCTTACCATTAATTTGATCATAATAAAATTACACTCATCAAATCAATTTATTTTTATATCTTCTCTCCTATGTATAAAGTGCTCGTTCATGCACGAGAATTCCAGCTTTTCCACGTCCTTCTTAGCCACCACCCCTCCCTAAACTCTATTGAACAAATCAACTTGAATGGTCTTCATGCTCTACCGAACACGTCTTCCCATCTAAGACGATTTTTTTTCTCTACATTCGAAAAACTTCGCTGACCACATATTTGAAAGAAAGAAAGAAAGCCCTGCTATTTTCACAACCTCTTGTGTTTTAAAACTATCGAGTCTCTTTGATCTTCCATGCAGAGCTTATTTAATATCCAAAACAATAAAAATTTAATGTGATCTTAAATCTCTACCTCACTTTCTCTCTCTCGATAAGCTTTAAGCATATACCTTTTTTCCAACAGCTTCGAAGATTTTTCTTTATTCGAATCCTACAATCCATATTTTAGTATTCGTTTGACATGTAAAAGCAATTTTTAAACTGAATATGATGCTTCTTCTTGTGATAATGTCTTTTCTTTTCGCTCTAAAAAATTCTCATTGTGATTCATAAGAATTGTAACATAGAAGCCGCCGATTACTTTAACATGAAACATATATGATACCTTTAAAATCTGGCTTTAAAATCAAATTACAGCTTCGGTATAAGATATCATCGGGAGGGCACATAGAAATCCTTGTAGCGAATATTTATGGCTAATACTTTTTATAGAATTGGAGTATTATATATACTTAAAAAAACATCTCATCTAAAAATTTAATTTATTTTTTTTAAATTTTTTTAGGTAATATAATTTTTTATCATGATATTAAAATTTTAATAATTAAATAATTTCAAGTTCAAATTTTATTATTTTTATTTATTTAATAAAAATTAAATACAAAATAATACCAACCTACACCTCGCAGCTTTAACTTACCTAAATTTTGAGGTAAGATAATTATTTTTCACATAAAAAAAAACAGCATATAAGGAAGAAACGACGTAAATTAGATCGTTCTCGCTTCTCGACAAGAGAAAGGAAAAGTACAAGTAATGAGAAACACGGTTAGTCATTAATCTTGGCTTTGCTTCTGTTCACAAACCCTGGTTTTGCCCATGTCCTGCTTTGTCATTAGCTCCCTGAAATATAACATTTAAACAAAAGATGACGTTAGTAAATCATATTGATCTCTTAAGATTCCATTAACATGCATATATCTACATGCAGTTGCAAGTCTTCTACTGCTATATACATTATTCAAGTTGGTCGTGACGGCGGGTAATCAAATTAAACTGAAGGTACAAAGATGTGGAGAGAATCACAAACCGCAAGGCTTGAGTGAGAAAGGCATCCTTGGCAGAATCATTCTCTGCTCTTGCTCTGAGGATTTGAAACATAAGATCAATCCTGAGTTGATTTGCAGCACTCTGCTTAGTGATTAGATTAGTTTCCTCTTTTAGTTTGGCGGCCTCTTTATTTATCTCCTGAAATTTTTCCCTCACTTCCTTTTGCCCCTCCCTTATGCGCTTTTGCCCCTCGCTAATCTCAACCATGTCAGCCCTTATCTTTTTGATGCTTCTACTTATTTGTTTCTCACTTTTTTTCCTTTTCTGCTAGGATTGTTAACAAATTATATACGTTAGAATTTCAATAAAGAAAAAAGAAAAGTATGGACGACTGATAATCTATATATGAACAAGGAACTGATGAGAAGGGAACCAAGAAAACAATTAACAACGATCAAATGAATCATGACCAAAGTATATATATGAGGTGGCAGCATGGTTTATATATAAGTATACCAGACTCTTCCTTTGAGTTGTTCCGAGAGAGGGCCTTTCCGCCACTTGTGTTGCATCCATGTTCTTCCTCGTCTTAGTTTTGGAAGGAAAAAAAATGCTTATTTTTCCGTTTTATTCTCAGCGATTAAGGTGCTTCCGTCTTCCATGCATGCATGCAATTTATAGGAAGGAAATTTCCTGCAAGAGTCAATAAGACGTTGTTTGTCGGAGGCATGAAATAACGTGGAAAGAAATAAAAAAGATGCGTGAATCGATGTTTGATATTATATAAAATCGCGCGACATCGTGCAGAAAGCGGTTCGATACTCGACCTTTTCGCGCGATTGCTTTACATGATTCGATGAGGAACTTCCAGTTAAAACCTGTAAATTGCATTCCATGCTGCCGCAAGTGGTGCCGTCATAATTATATTTTAAAGTATTTTTTATTTAAAAATATATTAAAATAATATTTTTTATTTTTCACATTACTGTATCAAAACTACCAAAATAAAAAAACTTAAAATTATCATTTAATATTTTTTTTTTTAAAAATAAAAAATATCATAACATCAAACAATCACTAGTAATTTCTTCTTCTTTTTTTATCACGTTTTTTAAAGCTAGGACAAATCATGGTTCCACTATGTAAAAACACCGATTAACGCAACACTCATCTCTAGATCGGATCCAAGGTGTCCACGTAACCCCACAAGCAAAACCTCAAAAAGAAGGCTAGCTATGATAGAGAACCGACAAATACATGTTGACACCACGTGCATCCCACTTGACAGTCAAAGCTAATCTATTCATCACCGATCATGGAGATGGAAAGTACATATATTTAATGGTCTCTTACAAATCGATTTTTATTTTTTTTTTATCATCTTCAATAACGCACAACCCATGAAACCTAGAATTTCGACAGCTTTTGCAGAAAACACGTTTTAAATCTAAATTTATGTCTCCATTTAACATCGATCACTTATCTCTCGTGTGAACATATTCACATGGGTTCAAGACTATATATGAACCCAGGGAAAATTGGCTCTATTTTTGTTTTTAATCGTTGAACCGGATGTATTTCTCTCTGCATTCATCTTCTTTAAACCCAGCAAAATAAATGAGGACTTGAAGGTTGTAGAAGGCTGTTTGGGTCAGATGTGGATGACTATAGCAAAGCTAATCAATCCCCACCGTCCTCGGAGGCCAGGCATGAAACTCATTGTTTTGACTGGTTAGGCGAAAAAAACAAAAGAAGAACTCGATCTATTACTGAGACAAGAACAAGGCCGGCGACCGTGAGATCGACCTCTCTTTGCTTTCTCAGCTTAGCTAAATATACAACCTCTCTTCGCTAGCTTAAATCTTCCATTTCTTCCCCGTGTTCCTCTAGAAGCCAACTAAGAAAAACATGAAGAATCAAGATGAGCGGTGCGACCTTATTAAATTTGCTAATTGTAGAAGGTAATCTATCTTAACCATAGATCATACCTGGGATAGGCGAGCTTGAATTTGAGAAAGGACAGAGAAATCTCGAAGAGAACTTCCTCTCAAATGGGCCTCTGGTTTCAAACATCGCAAGCGAAAAAATATAAAAATATATATAAAAAATAAAATCGCCATGTTCGTTGAGGATTGCCACCTTTGTACGGTAGATTATAAGTCAAGGCATTTTATTTTTTACGCTTTATAAACATGAGTAAGGCGGTGGGACGCTTCATTCGAGTTATGCTAGCTTTTGTCGTCCTGCTTTTTAACATTTCCAAACCGGTTGAGATGTTAGTAGTGGTGGTATTTTAAATATAATTGTTATTTGAAAATATATTAAAATAAAATTTTTTATTTTTAAAAATTATTATTAATCTCAATATATCAATACACCGTAAAAACATAAAAAATTTCTAAATTTTTAGAAATACAAACCTCAAAGTACTTATCATTTTATTACATTCATTTCAATCCCTAAAACATTCGCCGTGCTGGCCCAAAGATTTGAACCTCAAAAGTCAAAACATAAATCAGAAGCATGCCTCCTTGACCACCAACCCAACCCTTTAATGACAAATTGTATTCGAGATATTTTTTCCATCAAAATCTAATTAATGATTATAATTTGAGAGTTTATTTATTTACTATATGAAATATTTATATATATTTACTCCATGAAACATCCGCTCCATAAATATTAAAAGTCTCAATTATAACATGATTAAGAATTTGGATATCTGCATTTATATAATATATAAGAACATTTTTCAAAATCCACCTCAAACAAGGTGCAGGAATCTTCTTTCTCGTTTTTATGAGCTAATCCAATTTCAATTGACAGTCATTTCAATATAATTTTGTGTTTTTATGACCTACTATACTTTAGGTCATGGAATTGAATTTTGCATCATAAAAAAAAGATTATGTATTTTTATTTTATTTAAAAACCTTTTGACTTCAAAGTTTTTTTAATTAACTTTATATTATGTGTTTTAATATAATAAAAAAGAGTCTGTCCTCTTGCTGGAATAGATGAGAATAACTAAGATCTAATAATGATATAATTTATAAAAATTATATTTAGTATTGGAGGGTGGTATCCAATCCATATTGTAGGTTCATTGTTAAGTCCGAACCCATTAAAAATAGCAATAAATATATGTAATATTCATGAAAATATTAGCCGATCCAATATATCTAACATGCCCAAGTCTAAAAAAAATTAAACTAAATAAATTTATAATTTGTAAAGTATTAAAGATTAAATTAAACTCAACTATATATCCATGAGCACCTTATCTCTGATGAGTTTCCTTGGTCTCAGCAAAATAACAAACGCGAAACCCAAAAAATCTCACAAAAACCAAATCCAACAAAGGAAAAACCCCAAATTGAATATAATTTTTTTTTATAATAATAATAATAAAAAATAAATAAATACATAAAGTGAAGCTGGAAAATTAAAAAGAGAAAAATTTTCCTCCTTCTGGAATGACATGTCAGATCAGATATGGGTTACAAAGATTTAAACTTGAAATCCATAATTGGGATTTTTTTGAAAATTTTTCAGGGAAAGTCACTTCCTTTGGAATCAAATGGAGTTCAAATTTGAGATGAGCAGGAGACCAGTGGACTTTAAGAGGTCAGTGAAGAGGAGTACATAAAATTTGGTGTGGTGCACTGTGCTGCTGTTTTTAGCATTGAGGGTCGTATTGAATCGAGACCTCCCAACTCCAATAAGATAAAGATGAGTGTTTTCCTGGATTTTAATTGTTTGTTCAATTAGGTAGTTTTTAATGTGTTTGGTTACTGAGAAAAATGTGTGAATTTTGAATGGAATCAGTGTTCTGAGTTTTGGGATTTCTTCTTATTTGGAATTTGAAGGGAAAATGGGGCTTAATTGAATTTGAACAGTATTGGTATCGGGCTTTAGATTTGCATTTTTTGAGATTGTGAATTTAAGATTTTATTTTCTTATTTAATTCTTTTAGAGGGAAAAAAGTGAAGATCTGGATTTTCTTTAGTTAAAAAGAGAGAAATTACATATAAGAGAAATTACATATAAAGAGAGAGTGTTTATGTGTTCCTGATACGATGCGTTTATAATATATTATATACGAGGATATTTTAGTTGTTTTATTCCAAATGAAAAAAAAAATCAATTTATTCAAAATCATTAAGTTTGCTTTGAAAAAATGAAATAAAAGTTTAATTAATACGAATGCAACAGCGCCGTCAATGTCAATTTTTTTTTTCCTGGCAACTTCTTTGTGGGATTTATTTTTTAAAAATAACTAACACAGTGAACATAAAAATTTAACAGAATAGAATTGCATAAAAAAATAAAATAGCGTAATTTAAATATATCGTGATTTAAAAATATAGTGTGGTCAAAATCTAATGTTTTATTTTAACCAGTTAACTGATTAAATCTAATTTTATTAACAGAATAGAAACCATGATTTTATAAAGTTTTTAGTTTTATAAGACAAAATTATTTTTGTTTGATTTATATATTAAAAAATAAATTTCAATTAAAATCTTAAAAGACTATTATTCTCATGATAGTAAATAATTTTAATTAATTAGGTGTAAGTTCATTATAACCAAAAAAGTTCTGAAATAAATTATATGAAAAATTTAGAAAATACATTTATAAATAAATATATATCTAAAATGAGATCCGATCATATCAAAGCAAAATAATAACACTAAATAGTCATTGCTGCGTCGCTGGCAATGTCAAATTTTGACAAGCTACTCTCCACCGTCCTGAGTGATTTTGCTTCGGATACAACCACCAGTTCTTAATTTATTGCATTGCTGATCTTGTGCTTAATTTATTCGACTGTGACGTCTCCCACAAGGCTCATGTGGTCTGCATCGCATAAAAACGACCAGTAACCCACAGACATCGCGCGATCGCCCTGCGAACCGCACGAATTTGCCTTCTCCCTTAAAAAAAGGCTGTCCCCACTGTCCGGAAATTAAATCATGTCGCGCGATCAGCACTGGCTTAGCTTCCAACCCATCCAAACACTTTTCTTTCACAACGTTCAAATTATTGTAAAATCAGTTTTTATGCACGCTGTATATGAACAATCCTTGAAAAAACCTTTTCAGCTTACAGCTTGATTGGAAAAATGATTGAATTTTTTTTGATAGAATTTATATTAAAATAATATTTTTTTTAAAAAAATTATTTTTAATATTAATATATTAAAATGATTTAAAAATATTAAAAATTAAATTAATTTAAAATTAAAAAAAATCAAAAATTTTAAAAACACAATTAAACTATAACCCTGAATAAAACTTTAAAAGATGCACATTTACATGATACCTTCAAATTTAAAAAACTGTGCATGTATAATTTGCGTGTCATAACCAAATGTTTTCAATTATAGTATTTTGAATAATTTTTTTTAGCCATCATAATATTTTAAAAGAAAAACTCTAATGTTTTGTTACATCTACTTCTATTCTTAGAAATTTTTGATGTTGGGATAATAGTTATTTTTTAAAGTATTTTTAATTTAGAAATATATTAAAATAATATTTTTTTATTTTTATTTTTTTTTACATAACACATCAAAACTATTTAAAAATATAAAAAACTAATTTAAAACTTTTAAAGTTTTTGATGCTGGTACATCACAAAATTATGCTGGAATAAGCCTCAACATGGAGTTATGAAGGCGAGCGTTGGATATTAGCTCTTCTACTCATGAATACGCTCTCATCAGGTGGATGGGGTCATAGAAAGTAGAAACAGACTCCACAAGCGCTCCTATTTGGCCGACACACTCCAACAAGGATAGATCTTGGAGAGCACAGTGAAATCTCAACAAAATTGCAGAGCTGGAGAAAAGGTTAAAGAGTGTTAAATATACCCTTGTATTTAAAGAAACTAGTAGTGTTGCAGATCAGTTTGTAAAGCAAGATTTGAGTAGGTTAGAGAATTATATATCATCTACTCGTCCTCTACTTATTGCTGTTTGTAAATTCTGGAGTGTTTTTCCAAACCATATTTTTGGCTGTGTCGTCGTGCTCCTTCGTCCAGATTCAATCGTTAGTTATCTACTGGTCAGGATGCAATTTTAGAGCAGCTCCGCATTCCTTTGTGATGAATTAATGCAGTTAAGGACTCGCGTAGTTGGCCTCATTTTCGTTCTCTCTGTGAGCTAATTATCCTATGCTGGCCATTAACTTGGCATCTCGTTCTGCTTCATCGCTTCAGTGGCTAGCTAATTCTTATGGTGTTTTATGGGCTGTCTTGCTTACATCTCTATCCTGATGCTTGCCGTTTTCTTGGCCTTGCATGTTTTTTTTTGGGCGAACTCTTAGCAACCTAATATATATATATAAACAAAAGGATGCTATTGATATATTTTACTATTCACCATGAAAAATATAAATATTTTTTTCTTTTGAAGAAACAATGATCTTGCTATTAAAAATTAACTTTGAATGACTTATATCATGGGTTAACAAGATTGATTTTGATTGATATAAATCAAGGTGTATATGTGTGTAACTTTGATTGATTTATATCATGGGTTGACAAGATTGATTTTGATTGATATAAGTCAAGGTGTGTGTATATATATATATATAATTTTATTTTTAAAATTTGATTTAAAATTCAATTCAGAGTAAAGTCGGGGTTATAAAACAGAAGTGTCAATTTTGATTAATTTAATTTAAAAAAAAATAAAAGCAACCTCATTTTAATTATTTTTTTTAAATCAACAAGTTTTAAATTTGCATTTTATTTTGATTTGGATTAACCTAAATATTTAATTGATTCAGGTCAGATTAATTCTTTTTTTTTCTAGACTTAGATCAGTTTGGGTTCTAAGTCTACCCAGGACAATAACTCATTAGGTCAGTCCGAGTTTTATAATCAAAGTTATTATAATATTATTAATTTTAATATTAAATATAAATTAGAGTGAAAAAAAATTCTAATTATTATTTTAAAAATATATAAGTGTGATAGTTTTTTTTCTTTTGAAGAAACAATGATCTTGGTATTAAAAATTAACTTTGAATGACTTATATTATATCATAGGTTGACAAGATTGATTTTGATTGATATAAGTCAAGGTGTATGTGTAACTTTGATTGACTTATATCATGGATTAACAAGATTGATTTTGAATGATATAAGTCAAGGTGTGTCTATATATATATATAATTTTATTTTTAAAATTTGATTTAAAATTCAATTCAGAGTAAAGTCCGAGTTATAAAACAGAAGTGTCAATTTTGATTAATCTAATTTTTTTTAAAAAAAAAAACAAAAGCAACCTCATTTTGATTATTTTTTTAAATCAACAAGTTTTAAATCAATATTTTATTTCGATTTGGATTAACCTAAGCATTTGATTGGTTCAGGTCAGATTAATTTTTTTTTTCCTAGACTTAGATCAGGTTGGGTTCTAATTTGACCCATTAGAACAATTCAAATTAACTCAGGTCAGTCTAAATTTTATAATCAAAGTTATTATAATATTATTAATTTTAATATTAAATATAAATTAAAGTGAAAAAAAATCTAATTAAAATATATAAGTGTGATAGTAACATATATTAAAAGTAAAATAATTTTTTTATAATTTATTCATCATAATCAAATATGATACAAAAACAATAATTTTATCTTATACATCACTACTATATATAATTATGTCTTCATATCATGCCCATTTATCTTTTTAAAATGATTTCTTGAAATTTCACCTATCAATCTAGTCCATGCGCCAATCAATTAGATGTCCCGTGTTAGCGATATTGGACATTAATATATCTCACACAATATGACTTTTATTAAATTCTGCAAGTTTAGGGATTGTTGTCAACATAAATTTTATTGCTTCACGTCGAAGTTGTTGCAATATTTTGTGAGAAATTATTTTTTTTTAGATTAAAATGGGTGTTCGGGCCAACTTACACGCACCATGACTAATTATTTTTTTTATGAGAAATTATTGTATGATAAAAGGGTGGTGACGATATTATAACTACCAACCTAGCTTGCTACTTCCTATCAATCTAGTCCATGCGCCAATCAATTAGATGTCCCGTGTTAGCGATATTGGACATTAATATATCTCACACAATATGACTTTTATTAAATTCTGCAAGTTTAGGGATTGTTGTCAACATAAATTTTATTGCTTCACGTCGAAGTTGTTGCAATGTTTTGTGAGAAATTATTGTATGATAAGGAGGTGGTGACGATATTATAACCACCAACCTAGCTTGCTACTGGTCGTTTTTCATTGTACCATACTTTTTTTTTTTTTTTAAGATATTAGATGATGTTGAAGGTTGAAATGTTTGTTTGAAATTATGGTAATTTTTGTTTTTTAAATTGTAAAAAAAAATTAAAATTAAATTTTTTTATATTTATTTTTTATGATTTTAATGTATTAATGTAAAAAATAATAAAAACAATTATGAAAAAACTTTAATTTAATATATTTTTAATTAGAAAATATATTAAATTAAAGTTTTTTCATAATTATTATCGAACACACACTAACTTGATGGCATTTGGTCCCGTGATACTTTCAAATGTGGTTATCCTAGTGCTTTTGCTATCATAGCTTAATTAATTTTAATTTGTTTAGCTATTTTTTTAAAATTTGAACTATTGTCAAAATTCTTAGATAAGAGTTTACATGCCTCCGCAACATTGCATATATTATCAAAAGTTTTTTGAACGTAACAAAAGAATATCAGGATTATAAAAAATATTTAATATTATTATTAAATTCAGTTCAATATATTAATATT